CGGGCACAGTGGCTTACATCTGTAATCCCAGCACTTTGGGAGGCCAAGGTGGGCACATCACTGAGGTCAGGAGTTCCAGACCAGCCTGGTCAACATTGCAAAACCCCATCTTTACGAAAAATACAGAATTTAGGCCGGGCACAGTTGTGCACACCAGTAATCCCAGCATTTTGGGAGGCTGAGGATGGTTGATCACCTGAGGTCAGGAGTTTGTGACCAGCCTGATTAACAAAGTGAAGCCCTGTCTCTACCAAATGCTAAAAAAATGGCCAGGCATGGTGGTGCATGCCTATAATCCGAGCTACTTGGGAGGCTGAGACAGGAGAATCACTTGTACCTGGGAGGCGGAGGTTGCAGTGGGCTGAGATCACAGCATTGCACTCCAGCCTGGGCAACAAGAGCGAAACTCCAATCAGAAAAAAAAAAAAAAAAAAAAAATTAGCAAGGCATAGTGGCAGATGCCTATAACTCCAGCTACTAGAGAGGCTGAGGCAAGAGAATCACTTGAACCCAGGAGGCAGAGGTCACAGTGAGCAGAGATCGCACCACTGCATTCCAGCCTGAGCAACAGAGTGAGACTCAAATAAACAAACAAGCAAACAAATAAATGAAATAATTAGCTGGGTACAGTTATGTTCACTTAGGAGGCTATGGTGGAAGGCTGAAGTGGGAGGATCACTTGAGCCCATGAGTTCAAGGTTACAGTGAGCAATAATTACACAACCACACTCCAACCTAGGTGACAGAGTGAGATAGCTCCTGTCTCTAAAAAGCAAAATAATCCTAGTACTTCTAGGCAAGAAAGCAATTCAACACAGTTTTCAGAGGCAAATAAATTATAAGGGTAAAAATGAATAAGCCCAGAAAAATAGTGTTTCTACAAATTAACATGTTTTCATAGAATGTTTTGAATTGTATTTTCTATGAAAAGAATATTTATGCATGGCTGGGTGTGGTGGCTCATGCCTTTAACTCCAGCACTTTGCAGGGCCAAGGCAGAACCACTTGAGCCCAGGAGTTCAAGAGCAGCCTTAGCAACACAGTGAGACCTCATTGCTACAAAAAATTTTTTAAAAACTAGCTGGACATGGTGGCAAATGTCTGTAACCCGTTAATCAGGAGGCTGAGGTTGGGGGAAAATCACTTTAGCTTCGTAGGATGAGGCCAGTGTGGATGACAGAGCAAGACCCTTTCTCGAAAAGGAAAAAAAAAAAATCATGTACAGAAAATATGGGCACCCAAAATTCTTTTTCTTTCACTAAAATATAACTTAAATTTAATAATAACTTGACTGGATACATTATTGAAAACGGCTACTAATGAAACATTTAATATAAACTTTGCAAACACAGTATCACAGGCAGTAGGTCGTAGATCACACCTACAATCCAAGTACTTTGGTAGGCCAAAGCAGGAGAATCACTTCAGCCCAGAAGTCTGATACCAGTGTAGGCAAAATGGTGAAACCCATCTCTACAAAAAATACAAAAATTAGCCAAGCAAGTAAAAATACAAAAATTAGCCTACAGTCCCATCCACTCAGGAGGCTGAGGTGGAAGAATGACTTGAGCACTGGAGGCTGAGGCTGTAGTGAGCTGAGATGGTGCCACTGCACTCCAGCCTGGGTGACAGAGAGATTCTGTCTCACACACACAAAAAAAGAAAATAAAAGAAAGAAAGAAAGAAAACATAGTGTATTTTTCAATGTTTTTGAGTCAGAGTTTCGCTCTTGTTGCCCAGGCTATAGCGCAATGGTGTCAGCTCACTAAAACCTGCACCTCCTGGGTTCAAGCAATTCTCCTGCCTCAGCACAAGTAGCTGGAATTACATGTGCCACAACGCCCAGCTAATTTTGTATTTTTAGTCGAGACAAGGTTTCTCCATGTTGGTCAGGCATGGTCTTGAACTCCCAACATCAGGTGACCTCCCCACCTTGGCCTCCCAAAGTGCTGTGATTATAGGTGTGAGCCACCATGCCTGGTCAATACAGCACATTTTTTACTTTTATCCGGATTAATTCTGGACAAAGGCAAAAAAAAAAAAACCCTGAACTTAATGAAACTATTTTAAAGTTTATACTTCTGATCCCTTGAAAACATCTCCGTGTTACAATCTGGCAGATCCCTTGTTAAAAAAAAAAATCTGCGTGAAGGACAGAAGAATGGATGGAAGGAAGGAGAAAACCAATACAGAAATAATTTACATATACCTTATCTCCCAGGAGGAGTGCAGTCATCAACACAACTTAGTTTAATAAGAAAGAAATAAGCTCTTTCGTCACAATAAAAACTTTAAATATTAATCTAAACAGTAGGCCAGATGAGGTGGCTCACACCTGTAATCCCAGCACTATGGGAGGCAGAGTCAGGTGGATCATGAGGTCAGGAATTCGAGACCAACCTGGCCAAGATGGTGAAACTCTGTCGCACTAAAAATAAAAAAATTAGCTGGAGGTGGTGGCAGGAGTCTGTAATCCCAGCTACTTGGGAGGCTGAGCCAGTTCAATCCCTTGAACTTGGGAGGCAGAGGTTATGGTGAGCTGAGATCACACTACTGCACTCTAGCCTGGGCAATAGAGCAAGATTCTGTGTCAAAAAATACATATAAATATGTATATACTTATATTTATATATATATATATACACACACACACACATATATAAGTATATACATATATGTGTGTATATATAAAATAAATATATACGTATGCATAAGTAGATACACATATATAACTATATATGTAAGTATATACACATATAAGTACATATGTATAGAGATATATTAGTATATATGTATATACACATATTTAAGTATATATATAAGTATAAAAGTATATATATACACATGTAAGTGTATAAACATATAAGTATAAACATATATAAGTATATATATATATATATAAACAGTGTTTATTTGAAGTGTGTGTCTGACATTTAATAACTTTTGTTTGTTTATTTGTTTTGAGACAGTCTCGCTCTGTCAGCCAGGTGATATCAGCTCACTGCAACCTCTGCCTCCTGGGTTCAATGGATTCTCCTCCCTTAGCCTCCTGAGTAGCTGGGATTATAGATGTGCACCACCACACCTGGCTAATATTTGTATTTTTAGTAGAGATGGGGTTTCACCATGTTGGCCAGGCTGGTCTTGAACTCCTGACCTAAAATGATCTGCCCGCCTTGGCCTCCCAAAGTGCTGGGATTACAGGCATGAGCCACTGCACCAGGCCAGTATTTTGTTTTAATAACGGAATAAAAGGTAACAGGGATTCCCTGTATATTAACACTTTCAATGAACAGCCTTTATAGTTGCGTAATTCTTTCCTTTTTCCTGTCTTTGGCTCATTTTAACCACATGCACGGAAATGTAATGTTATGTCTATTAAATCTTTTTTCTCCCACCCCTGCCAAAAGAGGTTAAAAGGCCCACCCTTGGAGGGGGCAGGCGACTCCAGTTATGCACTCGCGGTGCTCTGTGCTGCAACTTAAGCCCTGCAGTCAAGTAGAGAGGAGGCAGGGTATCTGTTGAATCTTAGTAAAAATTTAGTTATCTTTTCAATTTGTCTTTCTAGTAACTCCTTTTTATTGTCCTTTTAGAAAAGTACTCGTCTGCAATAGATTGAAAATTTTAAGTCAGGGTCTTTCACTACAAATAGTAATCTGCTCTAATGTTAACTTTACTGAATATGAGAGTTATATTGTGTTACAAAGCAGAATGCCCTTGGTCTTAAGAGACATGTGCTAAAGTATTAAAGGCTGATGTGTCACAATGTCTACAAATAATTCTCAAGTGGTTCAGCCAAAACAAAAGAAAACCCAGATATAGATGGTGAGAGAGTGGCATTACATTAACCAGTGATAGATCTGGATGATAGGTTTGTGGGTGCTTGTTGTAATACTATTCTTCCAACATTTCTATAAGTGTGACATTATTCAGAAGAAAAAGCTAGGGAGAAATTTTTAATAATAAAAAGTTTTGTTCCATACTACTTATAAAAGTAAAGATGTGCATTGGAACCGAATCATAAAAAAAAAAAAAGAAAAGAAAAGTGACGATGGTCAGAGTAGTACATCCCTATAGTTCCAGTTACTTAGGAGGCTGAGGCTGGAGGACTGCTTGAGCCCAGGTGTTCAAGACCAGCCCAGGCAACACAGCAAGACCATTTCTCAAAAAAGAAAACAAAAACAAAAACAAAACAAAACAGTGATAATGCCAATTTTATTTTTCCTAAATATATCTTCACTAGATAAAATAATTCTTGAAAACTTTTTTTTAAGAATAACAATTTTAGGGAAAATTGTATTTTTAGAGAGCCTACAGGTCTAATTAATTACTGCCAATGAAAATCAATGTGACCACCTATGAAATTATTGATTGGCATTCATCTGTTCTCATTTAGCTCTAAATTACAAATCCGCTGTTTTCACATAATAAAATGAAATAAATGGGGGAGGGGAAATTACAGGCATGTGGCTGTTCCCTAACAGCTAGGAGGCTAAACTGGTCATGGAATTAAGCCTCTACTCAACTTACGGTAAAAAAAAAAAAAAAAAAAAACCTCATTAATCAATCAGAAAAATGTTATTAAGGTAAGAAAATAATATTGAAACCAAATTTCTCTCCTTGTATTTTCAATTCTTATCTGATTTTAGAGACTTCACTGGGGCTCATATTTCAGTCAAGAAGAGTAAAAAAGGGAGCCACGACTCACCAAACGTCACAAAACATGGCAATGAGCCATGTTTATATAAGTTAAATGCTTAATCTTGTATTTCCTTGCTTCTGTTCAGCTGACCACTTCATAAAGCTCAAAAACTCCATTGCTATATGTGAAAGGACCTTTCTCATGCTCCCTGATAATTTATACAGCCAGTTTTCCTTGAGTTCGAATATAACTCTCCCAAAATATTATGATGGATTGGAATGAGGACAGATGGCTAACACCAGTTAGAGATGCTCTTTTGTAAAAACACTAGTTTCAAAGTTTGTGAACTTTCTCTTACCTTACTTCTTCACCAGCAAAATCAAACACCTTGGTGATTTTAACTTTTTCTGTTTCTTTAGGTTTCTCTAGCTCTTCTGCTTTCACCAACAATTTACTTGAACTTGTCTCTTCAGTCTCCTCTCCTTTCTATGAAAAAAACAAGAAATGTAATCAGTTTTACCAAAGGATGAACCACAGTGTTTATAGCTATTCTTTTTTTTTTTTTTTTTTTTTGGTGAGACACCGTCTCACTCTATCACCCAGGCTGGAGTGCAGTGGCACAATCTTGGCTCACTGCACCCTCCCCACTGCCCAGGTTCAAGTGATTCCCCTTGCCTCAGAGTCCCAAGTAGCTGGGATTAAAGGCACCTGCCACCACAATCAGTTAATTTTTGTATTTTTAGTAGCGACAGGGTTTTGTCATGTTGGCAAGGCTGGTCTCAAACTCCTGACCTCAAGTGATCCACCCACCTCGGCCTAACGAAGTGCTGGGACTGCAGGTTTTTGCCAACGCGCCCAACCCATAGCCACTCTTAAATGTTTCATCTCTAACCAGTTAAAGGCCTATTAGAAATTTATTTGATTAGAGAAGCTTATTCTTCTACCATAGGAAATGCTTTGTTTTTCACTTAGTAGAATGGTTGGCAAAAGGCATCTGGTTGATTTCTGCAGGCTTCAATCTCAGTAATCCGGAGAGGCATTCATCTCATTAATCTCTCAACTTACCTTAACTCGTGTACTTGGGGACACTTTTGATTTTGGTCCCACATCATTGAGGAAGCTGGCCCAGAGTTCATCCGCCTTCTTTTTCCTTGCATCCTCTGATCCAATGCCTTTTTCCTGCTCTGCAGCTTCATCTTCCTCGTCACTACTGCTTCCCTCGGATTCTGAATTGGCATCCTCCTCTTCCTCTTCTAATGAGAGACCACCTGGTCTTTTCTTCCTAATCACCAGCAGTCACAAGGAAAAAGAAAGACAAGACAGACAACACAAAATGATTTCGGTTATCCCTCCCAGACTCTAAATATAATCTTGTAAAGCAGAGAACATTTTAAAATCTGGAAATACTAATAATACAATGAAGGGAGTAGAAGAGGTAACCTGAAATTCTGTCGAAGAAAAAAAAGAACTGAAAAAAAAAAAAAGAAAGAATGGAGCTCTTACTGCTAACATTTTCTCCAGTCATGTAAAATCAAAGTATAGTGTTCTCCTTCTAAATCAGGACCAGCTGTTTTCACAAAGAAAACATCCAAAATCACCTAATCACAGACTTAATCTGCCCAGAAAGAATACGTATCCTAAAAACATATTACATGTGCCAGATATTGCTGACTTTTTGAAGCTATTCAATTTGTAGAACAAGTTCTACTGAGAAGAGCCTCAACTTTAATCGCAAGATTTCTTCCAAGAGTTCTCAGGGGAAAAAAAAAAAACAACAATGTTTCTTTTCACTTTTTGAAGAAACGGGAGCTGGAATATAGAAAAATTCAAGGACAAAAAAACTTGTTAAGAGTAAATTGCTTCTTAGACTATTTTGACTTTAAGTGAATGAATCTAATAGCTATAATTTTTTTTTCATAAATGATAACCTGTTTTTTGCTTCAATGCCTAGGAAGACAGAAACACCCAAGTGAGGTAAAAGACTTCTAGGGAGGATGCCCTTATCTGAGTTAAAGAAGCTGTCAGAATTATCATAACTTTTTGTTTTTATTTTTTAATTTTATTTATTTTTTTGAACTATCATAATTTTTCTTGGGAATGCAAGCCCATACAAGGCCCATGGGAGGCAATTTGCTAATACCTATATATTTTTTGACTTAACTGCATATATAACGTTAGATCAAACAATTCTACTTCTCTACATTTCATTTACAGATATATTTATACATCTATATTTTATATACATTTATGTATTCATGTATACTTTGTATACATGTATACAAAGAATATTCACTTCAGCCTTGTCAGTTGTGGTAAAGACTAGATACAAAAAAAAAAAAAAAAAAAGACTAGATACAATCTAAACATCCCTCAACACAGAAAAGCCTAAATAAAGTAGGGCCTATTCACTGACGTAATACTATGAAATGGAGGAGATACTGCCATAGTATCATCTCCAAGATGTGAAATAAAGAGAAATGAAAATTCTGAGAAAGTGAGTATGCTACTATTTATATTTTTTTCTAAAAAAAAAAAAATAAGGATAGAAAACATATACATATATGCTTTTACATGCACAGACTATCTCTGTAATATAGTTCTTCAGAGGCAATGCAACAAGGGCTAGGAACAGGGTAAACATGTTTTTAGTGACTGAATTTTCTGTTTTAACCATATGTACATATTACCTATAAATATATATCTTTTTTACATTAAAACTCAAAATTTTTTAAGCTTGTCAAAGACGAGGCAGTTAATCGTAAAATAACAGCAAATGTTTCCCTTGAAGAAAAAAGTGTTAGAAACTCTGACTTTATTAAACCTCTCAGGAGACCAATCTTAGCAATCAGGATGCTTGTGACAATAGCCCTGACTTCTAAGGGCCTTGAGGGCAGCATCACCTGGCTGGAATGCTCTGGGCCTTTCTTTTTTTCCCTTTGGTTTTCTGTGTCTGCTCTTCACCATCCACTTCATCTTCCTTCACTAATTCATTTACATCATCTTCACTATACTCTCCACCTGAAATCACATAACAGGGTGATCAGACAGGAATAAAGGTTTTCACATCAAGATGAGACATTTTTATTAATAAAAGCTTTCACATCAAGATGAGACATTTTCATTAAGAAAAAAGCGAATTTTCCCCTATTTTTCTGTTTTTCACCTAACTAAAACATCATTTCCTTAGTGAAGTCTTCTCTGCCCCTGAAGACTACACTATGTTCTCCTACCCTAGGCTTCCACGGCAGTCCCTACTTCCCTCCATAACTCATCCCACTTATATTTAATGTTTGTAATTTCTGCTATGCTCTATGCTCCAAGAGGAGATGAACCCTGTTTATCTTGACTTTTAAGTAGTATTCGCTGAATGATGAATAAATAAAAATTCCAATTCTAGGCTGAATGCGGTGGCTCACACTTGTAATCCCAGCACTTTGGGAGGCCAAGGCAGGCGAATCACGAGATCAAGAGATGGAGATGGCCAACAAGGTGAAACCTCGTCTCTACTAAAAATACAAAAATTATTTATATAATATAAATTATAATTATCATATAATTATTTGTATAATCATTTATTTAAATAATAAATTAATATTATTGATTTATAATATTAATGTGGTGCACACCTGTAGTCCCACTCAGGAGGCTGAGGCAGGAGAATGCTAGAACCCAGGAGGCGGAGGTTGCAGTGAGCCAAAATCGCACCACTGCACTCCACTCTGGCAACAGAGCAAGGCTCTGTTCAAAAAAAAAGAAAGAAAGAAATTCCAATGTGCTTTTCTTTCTTTTTTTTTTCTAGAAAGATGACTGAAGAAACATGTTTCTCAAAGAAGAAACTGATGCACTACCTCATCTTAGGTATCTTTCAAATCTAACTTAAAAAATACTTTGTAGGCCAGGCACAGTGGCTCACGCGTGTAATTCTAGCACTTTGGGAGGCCGAGGCAAGTGGATCACGAAGTCAAGAGATCGAGACCATCCTGCCTAACATGGTGAAATCCCATCTTTACTAAAACTACAAAAATTAGTTGGTCGTGGTGATGCGCACCTACAGTCCCAGCTACTTGGGAGGCTGAGGCAGGAAAATCACTTGAACTCAGCAGGAGGAGGTTGTGGTGAGCCAAGATCGTGCCACTGTACTCCAGCCTGGAGACAGAGCAAGACTCTGTCTCAATAAAAAACAAACAAACAAACAAACTTTGTCTTCTCAATAAAAGAGGTTTAGGGCCAGGCGCAGTGGCTCATGCCTGTAATCCCAGCACTTTGGGAGGCCAAGGCGGGTGGATCACGAGGTCAAAAGATCGAGACCATCCTGGTCAACATGGTGAAACCCCGTCTCTACTAAATATACAAAAAAAAAAAATTAGCTGGGCATGGTGGCACGTGCCTGTACTCCCGGCTACTCAGGAGGCTGAGGCAGGAGAATTGCCTGAACCCAGGAGGTGGAGGTTGGCGTGAGCCGAGATCGCGCCATTGCACTCCAGCCTGGGTAACAAGAGCGAAACTCCATCTCAAAAAAAAAAAAAAAAAAAAAAAAAAAACGGTTTAAAAGGAAATCTAAAGACTTCCAGTTAAACATAGCAGAAAGAACAAACACACACATGTACCATCTTCGGACACTGACATTCAGGGGTCCCTAACAAAAGAGTGTTGTTTCTATATCTGACCACACGCTGTGGATACCAGTCAATAAACCAACCCTGCCCACAAAGAGATTCCACTACTTTTTCTCTTTTACTTCATATAAACTTTCATTTGAAGCATGCATACCAAAAAGCACAAAAATCTAACATACAGTTCACACACAGTGAACATGCTTGCATAACCACGGCCCCAGCTCAAGGAACTCAACATTACCAGCATCCCAGAAGGCCCCTTGTGCTCCCTTCCAGTTTTCAACCACTGCCCTACCACAAAGGTAAGCAGGATCCTGACTTCTAACACCATGGGGAAGCTTTGCTTGCTGCTGAACTTTAAACAGAAGCCTGGAGTGTGTTCTCTTCTGTCACTGTTATTCACCATTATGTTTGTGACAATCACCCACATTGCTGCAATGTAGCTACAGTTTCTTCATTCTCATTCTTAAATAACAAATAGTATTTCATTGTACGGCTATGCCATACTTTGTTTATTCATTCTACTGTTGATGCACAACTAGGTTGTTTCCAGTTTGGAGTCATTACAAGTGGTGGTGTTTTGATACTCCGGTACATCTAATCAGCTTGCGTGCACGCGCACATGCTTTCTCTCTTTCTTTCTCTCTCTCTCTCTCTCTCTCCCTCTCTCTTCTTTCTCTTTCTCTCTCTCTCTCTTTCTTGAGACGCAGCCTCACTCTGTCGCCCAGGCTGGAGTGTCGTGGCACGATCTCAGCTCACTGCAACCTCTGGCTCACAGGTTCAAGCGATTCTCCTGCCTCAGCCTTCCAAGTAGCTAGAATTACAGGAATGCACCACCACACTCGCCTAATTTTTGTATTTTTAAGAGAGATGGGGTTTTACCATGCTGGCCAGGCTGGTCTTAAACTCTTGACCTCAAGTGATGTGTCCACCTTGGTGTCCCCAAGTGCTAGGATTACAGATGTGAGCCACTGTACCCAGCCTCCAAAGAGCTTTTAAATACTACACTCATAATGTACCAAGGACCACCAAACACTTTGAAAGGCAACATTCAAGATAAACAGATTCAAGATAAACAGAAAGGAATTCAGAGGGAACAAAATTAGTGCAGAAAAAGGGGGTAGAGAGAGTGATGGACTAAAAACTTAAGGAAAAAGACTTTGTAATTAATATCCTCAAAAAGAAGAGAAACTGTGGCGTCTGTGCAATAAAAATAAGATTTTTTAAATAACTCAGAAAAACAAAGGCTGTGCATGGTGGCAATATGGTGAAACCCTGTCCCTACAAAAAATACAAAAATTAGCTGGGCTTGGTGGTGCACACTTCTAGTCCAAACTACTCAGGAGGCTGAAGCAGAAAGATCACTTGAGCCTGGGATGTCAAGGCAAAGATCACACCACTGCACTCCAGCCTGGGTTACAGAGCAAGACCCTGTCTCAAAAAAAACGAAAAAACAAAAAACAAAACAAAACAAAAACGTAAATTAAAAAAATTTTTAAAGGTGATGAGAAGGAGCCAGCTGTGTAAGAATCTGGAGAATAAGCATTTGAGGCTGAGGTGGAAACAATCAATATCCAAAATGGAAGCCTTTTGATATCCGAAACCCCAAGGGCTAAGTCAGTGTTTCATGAGAGCAGTGAGTTTCTGGTTAAGACGGAAGTTCAAACACACAAATGTAATTCTGCTTCCTCCTGAACCTCCGGTAAAATCATTAGCACAAGGTTGGGCGCAATGGCTCATGCCTGTAATCTCAGCATTTTGGGAGGCCGAAGTGGGTGGATCACGAGGTCAAGAGTTCGAGACCAGCCTGGCCAGCACAGTGAAATCCCATCTCTACTAAAAATACAAAAAATTAGCCAGGCATGGTAGCATGTGCCTGTAATTCCAGCTACTTGGGAGACTGAGGCAGGAGAATTGCTTGAACCTGGGCGGCGGAGGTTGCAGTAAGCCAAGATCGCGTCACTGCACTCTAACTGGGTTAAAGAGCGAGACTCTGTCTCAAAAAAAAAAAAAAGAAAGAAAGATAAAGAAAAACTCAGGGCCAGGCACAGTGGCTCAATGAAGTTGAGGTGGAAGGATCACTTGAGCCCAGGAGGTCAAGGCTGAAGTGAGCCATGAATGCTTTATTGCATTCCAGCCTGGGCAAGATAGTGAGACCCTATCTCAAAAACAAAAACCACCCCAAAATACAATGAAACTCAAATGTATTTACCTTTATATTCAGCAGTCTCACTTTTCTATCCCAGAATATGTAATAGGTTATTCACTGCATACTATTTGTAATAACAAAAAAAAAAAAACAAAAAAAACTAGAAATAGCACAAGTTGTCTCACAGTAAGTAATGGCTGAAAAGACTATGGTACAACTAAATAATGGAATATCATATAGTCATTACAATGGCATGTGTAGAATTTCTTTGTATTTACCTCCTAGATATAATTATTTAATTTTTTTTTTTTTCCAAGACAGAGTCTCTTGCTGTCGCCCATGCTGGAGTGCAATGGTCCGATCTCAGCTGATCGCAACCTCTACACCTGCTGGGTTCCAGTGATTCTCCTGCCTCAGTCTCCTGAGTAGCTGGGATTACAGGCACATGCCACCATAACCAGCTAATTTTTGTATTTTTAGTAGAGAGGGGGTTTCACCGTGTTGGCCAGGCTGGTCTCAAACTCCTGACCTCAGGTGATCCACCAGCCTCAGCCTCCCAAAGTGCTGGGATTACAGGCATGGGCCACCATGCCGGGCCCTAAAATACACTCTTAAATTAAAGAAATAAAAAGGAAGGAAAAAGCAAAAGAACAGTATATGAAATATGCCAGCTTTCGATGACGAAAAAGAATTAAGGATATGCTTATATTATATTTGTATATAGAAAAAATGACACTGGAAGGATAAATTAGAAACTAATGAAAACAGCTCTTTTAAGGGTCAGAATAAAACAAGGTAGAAGCAAGAGTTCACTATGGTTCTCTCTCTACAGAACTTTGAAAATCCCTTAAATTCAAAAGTTTGAATAAATAAACATAGCTGTATATCAAAATGAAAACATAACCACATTAACAAAAGATTTATTCCCAAGACTTTAAAAACAGTATTCTGACTATATATCTTCATCAAGATGCATTCCAAAGACAAAAAAAAAAAAAAAGTTCTACTCTTATAGTAACATTAACATTGATATTTTGAAACTATTTCCTTTAAGTCATAGGTTAAAGCAAGTAATTAAGTTAATCATATTAGGATTCTAAATCTTCAGAATAAGAGAAATAACACAACTATAAAATCAAAGAAATTGGCAGGGAGTGGTGGCTCACGCCTGTAATACCAACACTTTGGGAGGTCAAGGCGGGTGGATCATGAGGTCAAAAGATCCTGGCCAACACAGTGAAACCCCGTCTCTA